GAACGTGATAGAGCGAATCAAAGAGAAGAAGTTTTGATGCTCCATGCATCCCACCCTCCTCATATCATGATTTAAAAAAAAATCATTTATTTAATTAGAAATAGTGGCACACAGCTTGCTAGAAAACTAGGCTTGAGGCCGTAGGGACTGCCTTAGACAGAAGAACCACAAAATCCTAGAGTGGAAGGGGTTATCAACTGCAACATCTAACCCGATGAATACTTCTCCTACATGATGAACCTGGCAGAGATGACACCACTGATACTTTGAATTTTTTTTTTTTCTAACTTGCAATAGTGTAGGTATGCTCGACAGAAAGAGTGGAAAAGTGAGAAAGTACCCGAGGAGGGGATGGCCATACTGCAATCCTTCCCCTCCAGTCATCCTCTCAGGATTTGGGGCACCAAAGCATATATGCCTGGCATGTGTTCCAAGATGCCAGGTCCAACAGCATGCTGGCCCATGCAGGATTCAGCCACCTTAACCACTGCACTGGTGTGCCCAGTAAGTCTTTTCCTACGCAATCAACTAATGCAAGGGTTAGCAAATTAGAATGAATTGAAATACCACTCTATAAATTCTACCTGTTAAGACTAGTTCTACCGTCTAAACAAAACTACCCAAATCTGTATCATATATGAACAGCTCTGCATTTGAGGATAAATGTTCATGTTCACAAATATTGTTGAAATTTAAAATTCTTGAATAGTACCCCTGGAAAAAAAAAACTAAAACTTTCTACTTTTTTTTTTTTTTTAATTTGCTGCAGGGTATATGTGCTTGCCAGGGAGAGAGAAAGAGAATTAGAGAAGAGAGGAAAAGTGATCAAGCAGCTCCCAAAGAAGATGTCAACACCACAATCCTTTCTCCTCCCCTCTCCTCTTGGGATTTTGGGTAAACATGCACATGTGCCCAGCATGATTAATCCAGCTGCCAGGTCTGGGACTTGAACTGTAGCTGGTCACTTGGGAGTCCAATGTCTTAACCCATGGCACCCACTGGCCCCATTTATTGAGCTTTAATTATAGTGGATATGATAGCTGAAAGAAAGAGAGAGACAGACAGAGAGAGAGACAGAGAGAGAAAGAGAGAGAGGGAAGGAAAGAAGAGGGTAGAGAAAGAAAAAAGGAAGGAAGGAAGGAAGGAAGGAAGGAAGGAAAGAAGGAAGGAAGGAAGGAAGGAAGGAAGGAAGGAAGGAAGGAAGGAAGGAGGAAGGAAGGAAGGAAGGAAGGAACGAAGGAAGGAACGAAGGAAGGAACGAAGGAAGGAAGGAAGGAAGGTTTAATTTAGACAGTAATCCTAAGGGCATCTTGAAATTATCTCTCGGATCTGTTTTCCCACTAGCATTACAAATTCCTAGGGCTCTTACAGTTCTTATTATTTCTTACTTTAAAAGTCAATTTTCAGTGTTGCCTTTATTTCACTTTCACAGCAAACCTCTAAGCTATTTCTGAGATTTTGATTGGTGAAAGGGAGGGAGTAATGATGCAGCGTGGGACTATAAGAATGGGAGATCTGTTTTCAGCCACAATTCCAGACTGGAAAGCATCTCTTTTGCCAAAAATATTTTAAACCTCTCTTTGCCATCACAGGGAATCTACAAAAGGAATGACAAAAATCAGAGAAACAAAAAGTGTCTTGAAGTTAGGGCTGAAGATGTGAACCAATACAGCCAACTTTTATGAAGCATATTAAAATTTTAAAAACCTTTATGGAGAGGGAACCAGCAGTTAGCATAATGGCTATGTCGCTGGACTCCCACGTAGTCGACCGCGGTTTGCATCCCGGACCCGATGGCTTAAAACTCACGCCGGGCGCGTGTGCATGCATGCCCAAGATCCCAAGAGGAGAATAGAGGAGAAGGGATTGCAGTGTGACCATCCCCCCTGGGGTGTGATTTCTCACTTTCTGTCTCTATGTCTGTCTGTCTGGCGAGCAAACGCGTCCTATAGCGAAAACCTCTCCAAAATAAATAAATAAATAAATAAATAAATAAATAAATAAATAAATAATAATTTTTAAAAAAACCTTTATGGAGAAACCAGTTGATTAAAGACTCAAAGATTAAAGACTACATACTGAGACAATAC